AGATTGGATCATTGGTTTAGAGGAATCATCCAATTTCAGCACTTCAGCACAATTTAGCGGACATTGGACGTTTTTGCAATATCTTCTCAACGTTGAATCTACATTTCATAACATTGCAATTGATGCGATATCGCAATGTTGCGACGGAACGTTTCTGAGATGTTGATTCAACATTTGCGTGCTGTATGGGCCACCTTTTCCGCGCGACGCAATTTTTGATGAACTGTACGATCTCGTCGGCCGCCACGGCGGGATTAAAACGGCAATACATCAGATATATGTGACAACCGATATTACAATTATTTACCCGCCGCAGTAACGGAATAATAATACCGCAACATTATACGACGCAATAATCATGTTTGTTAATTACTTCATTACAATCTATTTACATAATTGTATCGTTCATGTATTATTTGCATATTATTATACCGCGCGCATAATTGTAATTATGATTTTATTCGGGCGAGCTCGCTTCTTCCGGCCCGGAGAGGAACCTCGGCGCGCCCGCGGGAGCTCGCGTTCGTCCTGGGGGACGATCAATCTTTGTTTTATCGCGTCGCCCACTTAATCGCCGGCGCATTGAGACATCGCGATTCGAAAATGGATGGATTCTGGATGCCTGCACCCGCATAGATGCCATCGTTGTACCGCGGAGATGCATCGCCACGATTTCGTATCGTAAAGTCATCGTCATTAGCCGGGCCGGCTCGCCCTATCAGCCCGCGTCCGGCTGGTATTTAATCGCCGCGGAAGAGGAACCGACGAAAATTGTCCGCGATTCGATAAATTCGGGCGGGAAACTGGTTGCGAGCGTGTGTAAAGAAAACGCTCGCGGCAGCGTAATTAATTAAATCCGTGTCTGGTATTTTACTTTGACTTGCGCGACTGTCACGCGTAAAGCGACGTCAACGTTAATAAATCGTAAGCGAATAAACATCAGCAGAGAGCGCCCGGCAACATTTATCACATATTTACGGCGTATTACAATCGAATAATATTATCGCAAACGTTACGTCTGAATTTACAGATCGCAATTAAACATTTTGCCCTATCAACCGGCAAATTAATTCGCCGGCCGGTAGCGAAAAAGAAGCGCGTGTGACCAAATCATTAACAAACCGACGAGAGAACAGCCCACGATTTATCGCGCGTTACGAGAAACGAATCCCGCGGTCGAGAGGCCAACGATAATCGCCACGTATAATTGCGATTCTTATCGAAGCGACGATTACTTTTCGCGGGAAATTTTTCTATCGTTTCTATCGCTTTCCCCTTCCCTTCCCCCCTTCCCCCCCGCGGCTGGTACCGGCTATCGCGGAGGTATGCAAACGCTATTTTCGCAAATCGCTACCTCGCAATCTTCCCGCCGGCAGCCCGCGGCGGCAGTTACCGAGACCATCGAGGGGATTTTTCCGTGGGATATCACGGCGGCGCCCCGTGTAACTATCTCGCTGTTGCGCGAGCGGCGGAAGGCGCCTGTGTGTACTCAGGCTCCCCCGTCATATCGCATAAGCCGTGAGGTAGTTTAGTTTGTCGAGAGTTCAGGTACAGGTAATTACCTACTGGCTACCGGCGTCAGGTGGTAGTGACACGGTAGCGTCGACCTCCTCGTCCTCCTCCTTCTTACTTGCGCGCACCATCTTCTCTCCTCTCTTCTCTCTCTCTCTCTCTCTCTCTCTCTCTCTGTTTTAGCGATACTCTTATCTATTCGTGTGTACCACTAATGACAAATCATCACTGACCGTTATACCATATTGTCACTACATGTTAGGGGACTATGCCCTTTTTTGTATTATATATTCTTCGATATTCAAATTGTTCGTTGTACAAAAGTTCTTTCTCACTTGTAAGTATTTTGTATGTACACCGAGAAAAAGGTTTCTTTGGACACAGTTTAATCATCCAATCTATTCTTTATAGCTGAAGATAGTGTACTAATTCAGTCTTTAATTTTCTTCTTCTAATGAAGGGAAAATTCTAATATAGAGGGAGAAAGATGTATGCATATACATTTTTGTCACATGATTTCTATTAAACGATAATGTTGTTTGAATGAAACAACAATATCGTTTAGATTGAAGAGAAGATGCCTTTTGTTTCAAACAAATATCTTATTTCAGACAAAGATATATATTACTTCAAATTCAAACAAATAATTTGTTTGGACCATTCCAAATATCAAATTTGTTTGGATACAACAAAATTTATTAAATAAAAAAAATCGTTTCCTCTGTGTAGCTTATCTAACGCTTTAGGAGACTTGTCCCAGAGCGTGTAATAAATAATGATTCTGATTTTCTCTTGCGTGCGTTCTCTCCTGAACGTACCTCGGTCACGTATTTTGCGCGTACCCACGTAAAAATACTTGGTGACAATCAGCCCCATTAGCTTAATGGGACCGTCCCTCGCGTCGATGGATTGACCGTCTTATCTGACAGCCCTCACGTGCGTTGTAAGCGCAAAGTTCGGCTCCCGGCATTAATTATTCGGCGTCTCATCCGATATTGCTTAAAACCTGAAGGTTAATTATTTCCGCGGGTTAGTTTCGAGAGCCGCGCGAGTTTTCCAGGCGAGCCAATGTAATTGGATGGCAAACAGCAATTTGTAATCTATAAATCCGACAGTTTATGTTAGATTAATTTCTGCATCGACTTGCGAACATGTGTTGGCTTGTAGCTTTACATTGCACGTTTTGCGGGATACCCGCGGCACTTTAATTACGAGCGAGTCGTGCGCCCGTGTGTAAATATTGCGGCTAGTAAAAAGGTTCTTTAATGTGCGAATTTATTATAACGCTTCGTTACACAACCGTCTCATTTCGATAATGTCATTTGCATACTCTAAAGCCAACGGCACACGAGTACTTATGGGCAATCCAGTAGGAAAAATACACTGATAGAATTTTGAAGAATTGTATGAGAGTCCTTTTTAAATTTTGCCATACATTTTACGAGTAGAATGGTAAATATGGTAAATTTCAAAAAGCTCTCATACAATTCTTCGAAACGCCACGTTGTCCCGATTACATGATTTTCAGGTAAGAGAAAATTCTCTCCGCGTACCTCGAGGCATTTCCCATTGTTTAAATAACTTTGCGGACTCTAATATTGTCCCGGGCATTTTTAATTCTTCTATGTCCTATTAACTAATAGTTAATTTCCTTAACTCTCTTCAGCGTTCCAACTTTCACAACATTTGTATAAAATTCGCTTCTTTCACATTTAAAATCCCTCCTCGTTATCTGCTCCTACACACGCTAAACGTATGTAGCTAACAAATGGACGATGAATCGAGATTACGAACCTCGTTTAAATAAGGATATCGAACCTCGTTTATTAGAATTCCGTTTTCGTGGTCGAGCGAGACCCGGGCATAAATAATCTAGCTGAGACTTATGACCGAAAAGAAACCGGCGCGCAGGACGAGGTGGTAAAACGGTGTACGAATTGACATTGTAGATAACAATTATTGGGCTACATCTTGCTCGGACCTAAAGGCGCTCTCTCGTTTGTTTGATTGATATCGTAATGGGCCTATTTAACTCTATAAATAATCTTCGTTCACGTGGCTCGCCTGCGATTCTGCGACAGTAGGTCGATCGATCAGTCGCGATGAAGTGGCTTCGGCGCGTCGAAAGAACTCGCCGGCGACGGGCCGCCCTCCCGCCGGATTTCCCTTCGGTTGTCGATCGACGTTGCGCGAGCCCCGTGACGGGGACTAGGGCGCCTGTAACGCTTCGTTATCGGCGTATACTCGGCATGCCGCGCCGTCGTTCTCGCCACGCATGCCGCAGGCGTTCCACGGGAGATAACGCGCCGCGCGCGCACAGAACGGGGACAAGACAAGGTGGATGACACGGCCCGTAATTGCATGTTATCCGTTGCATCCACGCGCGGGCGTGTCCGCGCGCCCGGGCCCGTGCATACGCGCGCGTGCACGCGCTGCGTTGCGCGCGTGTGCAAGTATGCGCGCAAGTATGCACGCGTGCGTCTGTGCGGAAGAGTGTTTGCGCTACCGGATCCCACGGATCCCACGGCTGCCCGTTCCACGTGTCCCTCGCGCTTGACGTCCCCGCGGACACGCGACACAAAGGACGGCTTGTGGCCGCGCGGCGCGCCGTGCTTTTCCGAGCTTCAACGGATCTCTTTCGGTGTTTCAAATGTAAATAATGCCGCTGCGCCCCGAAACGCCCGTTTCGCACTGCTTTATCGGATCGATCCGCTGTTGGAATCAAGTTGAGCGGTGAAATGGCCTGAGGTCGATTCGGGAAATGGTCCTTGGTCATCAGCCGGGGCATGGCGGTTTTTGTCTTGACGAGACGTGGCAAACTTCTTATCCGCTAATCTCAGATAAGCTTCGCGCAGAGTTTCGATTAAATAGTCAAACGACTTCAAAATATCTTCTACAGTTTACATGATTGGCTCGATATATTGTACATATATGTATGTAATCTTTCAGTACATTTATAATATAATCATAATAAATAAGTATTTTCTGGCTAATTAAACGGTCCTGGAAATAAACGGACAAGTCTAAAAAGTTTTGCACGATTTGACCTCGCACCCACAGAAAAAATTTCCGGATCCATATTTTAATCTTAAATGAAAAATTCTACACTCTAGAATAAAATAACAGTATGTGTCGTCTTTTGTCGAATATCGTGGTGCCAACTTCGCGCGTCGTAAGATGGAGGGAAAATTTATTCTAAACGCAAGAATATATTATGAGTTACTCTTGTCTCAGTATAGTAAGTCAATCTTGTTTAATTCGATAGAGGAGAATAAAAATTATTGATTTTATTTTGATATTGTGTTATTTTTATACTAAACGAGGTTGCGAGCAATATAAATGCGTCAAGAATATTTTTCGTCTCGGTAACAGAAATCCTTTCTGAGGGTGCGGGATATATGAGCTCCGGACTGTGAGCTAATTAGATTTTGAGTGTCAAGTATTCTCGACAGACGAGCTTAAAGGTCCAGAACCGACTCTCGTTGCAGCGTCCTCCGCGGCGCGGGAGAAATCTTCGCGGGAGGAAGCGGTGCAGCCTGAGGCGCACTCGCCCTCCTCTCAGCAGCATCAAAGGATCGGTCAGCAGAAGCAAACGAACGGCCCTCGATCGGAGTACAAAGGCGCGTCCGGTTGCTCCAGGTCTTCTGACAACGACAGCCCTTTGCCCTCGCAATCGCTCAAGCCCGAGCTCGAGGAGGGTGCACCAGGGGCTGCGAATGCCGGGCCCAGGACGACGGACGAGCAGGGCGACGGCGCCGCGCTGGCGAACGGCACCACCGGTGCGTCTAGATGCGTCAGCGGCATCTTCGCCGGACACGGCAAGCTCAAGAGGCTGCTGGGCACCCTGGTGCAATTCGCGACCGACATCTCGGCGGACACGGGCGACACGGTGCGCACGCTGGTGCTCGCGCTTCTGGTAGGTAAACCCCATTTGCAGCGTGGTTTTCATTGTAAATCTTCATTAAATGGAGTAAAGTTTAATCTCAAGTTTAGTGAATCCGATTTGTCTGAATCAACCCCAGCGGAACAATTTTCTATAAATAACTATTGTACAAAAAGAAATTTGCATATCTTCGTTGAAGCATTAATTCTTTTGTAAAAATACCTACGAAATAGTAGTACAAATTACAATGTTCTCAAATCAAGAAATTATTGCCAGTCATGAAAATGTACAACTTTGTGAAAATTAGTACAAAACTTTACTAGTTTTAGGAATTTGAGAAACAACAAAATCTTAAAGAATTAAAACATCTGCTTGCTTGTAGAATATTACAAAAATTGACAAAAGTGTTCCGATTCTAGCATTTTCATGTTGATTTTTATAACACTTTTTAAATTTACGTAGAATTTCTTAGATTCTGGCAGTTATATTTTATAGTTTTGTAGAATTTTGTAGAGATATTTCCTGTAGGGAAATTTGAATCTAATCTCAATCTCAACCTGTAGTCTGATTACGGGCTTCAAGAATGTTGGGTCAGTTCAATGTGTACTAATGTGCGTCACATGATCGGGATTAATGTCAATGGTTTTTATTTGCTTGTTTCATTTACTATTGAGATACTCTAGTGAAATTTATTGGCGCTCGCCACGATTTACGCAGCATGGACCTTCAACGTCAGCTCTTCTAGCAATCGCCGTTAACTTACGTTGCATTACCTCGTTTGCATCTTCGAGTATCCTTTTACGAGCGTGCAAGACCTTTCCGCATTTATCAACTCCTTTAGTGCCCACAATAAGTAATATACGCACACCAGCTGACGGAC